ATGTTTCTCAAATGTCACGATGTCTGGCGCATTCCAGTGAGAACATATTCTAAGTGAGTAAAAATTCTACAATTCAAACAGGAGTGTTGTGTCATTGGTTTCAGGGGATAGAACGTTTGCTGGAAGGTCATTGGTTTAGACTAAAAACAGTAGTGGGCCGAGTATGGATCGTTGCGGTACAACATATATATATATATATATATATATATGTGTGTGTGTGTGTGTGTGTGTTGTACCGCAACGATCCATACTCGGCACACTACTGTTTTTAGTCTAAATCAATGACCTTCCAGCAAACTGTTTTCCTGTTTTACTGTTTTATATTGACCTTATTATAACCCATCGAGTACTACGCTTAAATCACTTCCAGTACTGCGGCCAATATTTCACTTGCAGGAACCCTGTAACAACCGAGGGTCCCCTGCATGAACAAGGTATCACATCAGCCTTGTATAGAATGAAGATATGTAAACTTATGGAATACACTACCAGAAGGACTAATAGAGGACGATTCTGTGAAGTGTTTTAAAACACGTGTCAACTAGTATTTTGAAAGCCAGTGCTTTTGTGAAACGGTGCACATACAAGGGAAAAGATAAATCCTATACCCCGAAATAATGACACCAATAAGAATTCCTAACCGAAAATGGAGAAACGATTAACTGACGAAACACTACCGCTGAGGATTCGCAATCAAATGCTTTTGATTTTTCATATCTCGATAAAGTTTTACAGAAACCTTTCTACTTGCTGTTAAATACAGTCTCAGTCTATTATCAGCAGTCTCTAAGGCACAGAGTCAACGAAAACCATTAAAGGAAGTATTAAATGTCGAGACCTCAAAAAGATTAAACTTACAAAAAAGCTAATTTGTTTTCAATCTTGTTTGCCTTTTCTGGTTTTTTACAAGCCGTTTTATCGTTTTGTTATCTGTTTAATGTTTGCGATGTAAATCAAGGAAACCAACTGTGCCACTGTGCGTGCGGTCCTGCTGTACAGCAGCGAGACTTGGCGTGTCCGTGTAGATCTGAAATGACTAGCATTTTTCGACAAAGCTGCTTGCGAACGATCGCTCGTGTGTGTTGTCAACCCCACGTAAGCAACTGGAAGTTAGAAGCCGAGTACTCCGAGCGAACAATCCGAGTCTCCAGGGGATTATTCTCGACCACCGTTTATGTTAGATTGGTCAAGTTTGGCGCATGCAAACCAACCAGCCGAACATTGTTTGCGATTCCTGGGTATGAGTGGAGAAAATTCCCGGGTGGAAAACCGTTGACGTTGAAGAGGAACAACAGGAATATCACTGCATGTCTGGTTTCGTCAGGATCTGTTCGTCCTCCAGATGAGGTGAACTACAAATGACTGGAGGGTTCGATGGTTATGGCTCATAACCGAAATCAGTGGTGCCAATGCTGTTCAAACATTTCCCTTTCATCCACATTCCAATTTTAAAGAGAAAAAGCTCAAAACGTATGTGAAATACAAAAAGCAAAAAAATAAACAAGTCGTTTTCCTTTGTCTCTTGAACTATCACCTTTTTATTCCCTTACAGCCGTGGCACATTTTTCTGCTCTCAGACTTATATATATATATATATATATATATATATATATATATATATATATATATATATATATATATATAAAGTTGGCGGCATCCGGTTTCGGGTTTGCCTGTCATTGTGACAAGCCACAGGACGCCTGCACCTACAGAGGGACCATGGATAGCTTGCGCTGCACCACCCACAGCTCCAACCACATAATCCATTTCCAATGTAAACCCGAAGGAATAAGACCGAGAGGCATGCGGATGAGAACCACGTTTCATCAACGGAGCCGGCCCACAGTCCTTCACAGGCAAACACAAGCACGCTGTATTTTGGGGAATCAAGCGCACACAAGGCGGTGGCTGGACAGTAGTCCGCTCCACACTAAGTGCATGGAACCACTCTTCGAACTCAGCATAACCACAAGGGCGGTGCACCCTCTCCCCTCCAGCAACGACCAACTGTCTCCTGGAGCCAGTATGAACGAGGTAGTGGGTAATAGACAGGTAGGCACCTTGTCAACATGCACATCAAGCGCAGCCACACCGGTGAAATCAAGCAACAGCCAATCACTTGAGCGAAAGAGACCAAAAAAATAACTCTAGTAATCCATAAGGAAAAGTGAGAAAAATCTTAAATTAATGAGCATATGAAATAAGTTGTTAACAAAGCATCCGAGATAAGTTCACGAGGTATATTTTACGGAAATGACACAAACGCGAAAATGTTATCGTAATTAACTATAGTTGGCTTAAGCGACGTGTGCAGATGTATAGATGGTATAGGTGGACATTTATTTAAGAAAAGCATTAGGACAAAATTGAAGACCCACCACCTGAAATAAATAGACTTAGCATGCAAGCACGCGGTTAGTAAATTGAATGCAGCGTACCTACAAACGCTGCGCTGATTCTACCAACGTTCTCTGCAGGACCCCTCGTCGCTTCGGTAGTGGTCCCAAGGGGCCTCGCTTGTGGCTCACTAAGCCTGTCTGACTCAGGCATCCGCGACCGCATGTGCTACAGCACCATGCGCTCGATGTCGATGGAGTACAATTCATCGGTGCTTGCCGCTTCCGCACTTCCGCTTCTTCTCTGCATGCATGAGGGCTTTCTCTCGCACCTCGGCAACTGTGTTCGTGATCAGATCGCGCCAAGCATGCCTATCAAGCGCCTTCGATTCCCATGATCTGCAATCAAGATTGGAACGTCTGAGGCTTACTTTAATCATGTCCTGGTAACGTAAATTTGGTTTCCCCACATGCCACTTCCTTATACTCAGCTGACCATTTAAGAGTTGCTTCGATGTCCGCGTTGAATCCATACGGCTCACGTGACCGAGCCACCTCAGGTGTCTCAGCAAAGTATGCAGTCCACTGCATACATTCCATTTCGAGGCAACACTTCCGTGTCTGCAACTCTGGCGCCCCAACCGATGCGCAAAATCCGTCGCAAGCACTGCTGATGAAACCGCGCGAGATATCGCACATTCCGCTGGTATATCGTCCACGTTTCACTGCCGTATAGAAGAACGGATAGCACCATGTATTTGTACGCCATCAGCTTCGTGCCAATGGTAAGCTGATGGTTGTTCCACACTCGGTACTCAAGCTTCCCGAATGCCGCCGCTGCATTCGACACGCGGATACGCAGCTCACTGTGTATTTGCTGATCAGTCGACATCACACTCCCAAGGTAGCAGAAGCCAGAGGTTATTTCTAATACTCAAGCACCAATGCTGATTCGCGGCAATATTGAAGATTGCACCTCCGGTAAAGGCTGAAAGAGACAGACAGCTTTGCTTGTGTTGATGGTGAGTCCGAATTTGGCCACTGTTGAAGCCAGAGCACTAGTAATGTGCTGCAACTCATCCGCGCTGTGTGAGAACAACGC